TGAGAGCTACCAAGCATTTGATTGATTGGAGGAAATACACTGTATCAGTAGCTCTCATCATTGCATTAAATGGTTAACTGGTTTTGTTAGTTAAGGGCAGTCTGGCCAGACATAGTGAGTCTGAACTGCTGTGAATAACTGCTTTGTATTGATTGTCTCTAAGGAATGATGGTACAGTTTGTCTGAAACGTTTTCTGAACATAGTGAGTGAGTGAATTTTGTATTATGCTGTTTTCAGCAGTATTTGAGCAAAATCACGGCGGGGGACACCAGAAATGGGCTTTACACATTGTACCCATGTCGGGAATCAATCCTGGGTCTTTGGCGTGACAAGCAAACACTTTAACCACTAGGCTACCCCACTGCCCTTGTGAACATAGTATGAGATAGCCTTAATTGTCCAGTGTTTGTATTCGCATGTTATTTCAATAAGCACCCTGTACTCATTCACCGAGCTCCTTTTGGAACACAATTGCAAGTATGTGAAACTTTAACAAGAGAAAGAGATGGTGATATTGCTTTCAAAACAATGTCTGGATTTATCATTTGTCGTAATATCATAACAGAATGGAAATATGGATGGATTGAGAAGAAGATAGATGAGGATTTGTGTTGAGCTGGCTCTGAATTATTTTCATGACTATTCCTGTTCTTAGAATGGTTTGTATGAGGCTACTCCCATGACATTTGTTTGGGGCAGACTGGTCCCTGCCTGGAATACACACATCTCTCTAGTTGTTTGGAACATCCTATCTGGCATACACACATCTCAGTAGTTGTTTGGAAACAAGCATAGCAGATCTCGCAGTCTGGATATACAATTACCTTCCATGTTGCACAAGAATCTCTCCCAATCTTTGGTCAATGGACTTGCCTAATGTTATTTTCTTATTAGTCACGAGATGTTGGGTTTGAAATACTGATGTGAAATGTGATAGATGTAGGTTTTAGCTATTTGGTTTGGATAGACAGTTGCACAACTGTTTCGAAATTTGGTCTTTAAAAAGTATCAGATATTGATTCAGTCATATATCAATTCACGACACTGGACAAGATGTCGATGTTGTTGTGTTCGCTGGAGTGCAGTCAGTTTAAAGGCAGAAAGGTTAAGTTTTGAACCATTGGTTTGTGAACAACAATAACGCTCCAGCTATTTCACTTTTGTTTCAATAGTTTCACATTAAACACTAAAACAACTAAAAGCAATGGAGACTGAAATATGGTCAGTGTGGAGATGAAATATTTAAAATGCTTACTCAGATTGAACATGATTCACAGAAGGGAACTTCTTACCCTTTGCAAATACCATTCCATATGTGTGTATATTTTTATCAATACAAGACATCAAATTACAACGCACATTTTGCAATACATCAGTACATCTTTAAATTAGGGCTGGGATGGGTAACCCAGATACCCGGGACGGGTGGGTAATGAACTGGACCAGGGTACCTGTCTCAATACCTGGACCAGTTATGATCATGTGGCTAATGGGTTAAACAATGTAATATGTTATTCTTTTATGATCAAAAAGTTGTATTGTCTTTGAAGATTTAGACATAATTTACAGTGACTTCTTTTGAATACAATACATGGTTAAGATATTAAAAAAATTGAAATTTCAGCCTCCAAGCTGAAGAATATATTGCCATTTCTTGCAAATTTGATGTCATGAATTAACATAATGGGTATTTGGGTAGGGTAGGGTAATAGAGGGTGGGGTACCCATGTAGAAAATTTGGACCCGTCCCAGCCCTACATTAAATCCATGGAGTTGGTACGATTGATAAAACTCAATACCTTGCAGTGACAAAGACGCCATTTTTCGCTTATCACTCAACCTGATAATCATGATGAGAAACAGATTTCTAATCACATCCATGGTTTTATGGAGACTTACAGCAGAAAACGAGGTATGCTATCACCCAGCTTGAACTCATCATCACCTGTGAATAAAACTCGGTGAACTCCAACACTGAATGATGAAGACTATTTGATGTGTCTTAGTGAACCCTACGATGTAGAACCACTGAATTCCTCATTAAAGCATCATGTACGAAACCAGCCTCAGGTTCAAGTATTGAGATGGAGTTCCATAGGTGCAGAATCTATTCCAACACCTATCTGATTTCCATGCATAAATGACTGAAGGAGAGTTTTAACAAATCAGCATAACACATTCTTTATGTGGTGCTTGGTACAAGTTAAAAGGCAGAGAAAATGAAGGCTGTTGATGTGTAGTGTACTGATTGGAACTTTTTGAAGTTCATCCATGGGATATTGAAAAAAATGATTGATGTCCTCATTGACTATGTTTGAACTCATTTAGAATGTGACATTATGGAACCTGTGTTTTTTTGTGCAAGTGTGTCCATATTGTCTGCTGATGATGCATGGCACAAGTTCTTGCTTTCTAACAATTAAGATTAAAACAAATCAGGTAGTGCCAGAAACATTACATTCCATAGTTCAGTGAACTTTTAGTACATCTATATTTTGTTATTTCTATCAGTTTTGTAACCATTTCTGTTATGATACTTTCTCACATAGTCTTTGTAAATGCCTATCTTTGTTACAATTTAAGTGAGCTACAGTACCATGGCACTTTTTTTATCCATGAACAAATTGCAAAATTTGGTATCAAACACATATTCAGAAGCATTGATTTAATACCATAAATAAAAGCTGTCGAAAATCACTGAATATGAAAATTATAAATCAAATGTTACACAGTATACTGCAAATTACAAAAATGGTTCCAAAGCCAAAATTTCTCTTTGTGGCACCATGTATGGGACGGGATGCCCTTGCTATATCTGGAATATTGTTCTGAGAATGACATACAAAAACGTTGTTACAATGTGCTTGCAAAAGGGTCTTTTGTGCCTGTCAACAATAAAGATGTATTTAATTCTGTTGGCAGCCGAAAATGTTTCCCAAAATATTCAGTTGAAACTGGCAAGGAGTTGGAATTACGGTATGCTTTTCTCAGTGGTACTTGTGTGTCATCCCTCCGTGAAAGCAAATGCAGAATCATTTTCTCAACAGACATGTTCTGCATGGCTTGAAACTTAAGGAACAGCACAACAGTTCTTTTTTACAAACCTCTTAAAGTGGAATATGACTTTTTGGGAGGATTTGTTTCATCGTCATGGAAAGTTCTGTGTAGTTTATGTGTTCAAACGTTTTACCTCAGTAATATTATTTTAAGTTTCTTTACATAAGAAAATCATGTCTGTTAAAACTGGTGTCTGGGGCATGCTGCCCTATATTTTGGATGCATGATTTACCAGTGATTGAATCTCTCCAACATTTAGAGGGGGTTCAGGAAACCAAATATCCATCCACACCTATCAGCTTGTTGGCCCAGTGTTTCCCCGACTGGAGAAGAATGCCACACATTCCAGCCACACATACCTGTACATAAGCTCCCCAGTTGCGCAGTCAGACTAGAAAGGGTTCCTCCAAGCTTCTTGCTTCAGTCGATCAGTCACAGCCAGCAGCCCGCAGCCTGATTGTTTTCACATGGGGGTTCCCTGCCATTGTCTCCTTCACAGATCTGGCTTATGTAGAACTGTTGCACCTTGCAAAGATAGGCCATGACCTGTTCGAGGATGGAAGGGTTAGAGTTGGGTTGTTTATAGCGAGAATATCAATTTGATATTCTGTATGTGAGTGAGTGAGTTAGTGAGTTAGTGAGAAGGATTTGGGACTGCTTTCAGCATTATTCAGCCATATTATGCCCAAATAGGTTTCACTCATTACCCATGTTGACTTTGGATCCAGGTCTTGGCAATTATTTTTGAGTTCAATAAATAAGTTGCAAGTGATTATGTGGAACTTGATTGACTTTACTCAAGAATTTTTCTTTGTGTTTATGTTTCCAAAAGCAGAAGAGTATAATAAACCTCACCCACTATACCTACTGATTTGTTGATAGTAGAATGGATGGGGCTTGATGTGTTTATTGTCAGTAAGTTCTTAAGAAATTACCAACTGCAATTAACCAAAACCAATTAAAGGTCACCCTGTTTTTTCTTTCTGTCATCATAGAGTTATTTATCCAGGTAAACTGATATTTCTGTATTAATTACAGTCTTCTGCTTTCCATCACTTGTGACATTTTACAGAGTTACATTCTGAATTAATTCAAGATTAGTTTATTTCAGGTTCTTCCACTCAACAGACAAACAAATATTTTGTCTTTCTACTTGCAGGGTACTTATATTATTTGCCAACAAAATATGATGTTTCTGTAGTAAATGGAGTCTCCAAACCCATACAGTTGCCATTTGAGAAGTTTACAAAATGTGTTCAGGCAAAATATTTTCCAGCCCTTTCACACAGCACATTCCTTCCTGCTTTCACAGTGCTGTTTATCAACGTAAAATGATATTTCTATAGGTAATACCATCGTCACAAATGAGAAAGTTACATCATGCATTCATAGAAAAATATTTCTGGTTTTGGAACTGTGAATAAGTTTTGTAGTGCAGTATGTAGAGGACAAAGAGGGATGAAAGAACTGGCGGACCAGTCAATCATCAGTGGATCAAGGAATTAGTGTATTTTGTCTGTAACTGTCAACTGAACTGAACACGGGCCAAAACCCCAAATCGGTAATACTTTACTTTTTCTGATGAAGCAGAGAAATGTGCAATTACGATATGAGACAGCTGTTTGATTAGAAATGACAAACTTTTGACAGTATCTGCAGACTGCTATTGCAATTACTTAACTTCTGACGTCCTACCTTTTTCCCCAATCCTTTTATCATTGGTACCAACTTAGCTTGTTGATTCACCAACATCACCATGATGTGTGATGTCTGCACTTTGTATTGTTTTTCAGGAGAAAGAATTATGCCGTTCTAGCAGACGTCATGAATAGCTGCAAGGTTTTCTGAAGCAGTGTAAAGCATTAATCCCTCACTTACTCATTCTTGCAGGTTTAATGTTGTCATGTCCAAATTGTGAAATATTTGCCTTAACACTAGTCACAGCCTTCGAGTATTTGATTCTGATCACCATCTTTGCCAACTGCATTGCGCTGGCAGTGTACACACCGTTCCCCATGTCAGATTCCAACGAAGTCAATGCAGCATTGGTATGTATTGTCGACACAATCAATATTTCAAGGACTCAAAAGAATAAAATCGAGTACATTAAATTATATAAATTTGAAATTTTATTTATTTTTATCAATATTATGATGATGATGATGATGATGATGATGATGATGATGATGATGATGATGATGATGATCTTTAGCAGTTGAAGATGCAGTGGGGTAGCGTAGTGGTTAAGGTGTTTGCTCGTCACACCTAAGACCCAGGTTGGATTCCCTACATGGGCACAATGTGTGAAGCCCATTTCTTCAATGTGTGAAGCCCTGCCGTGATATTGTTGGAATATTACTTAAAGCGGCGTGGAACTAAACTCACTCACTCACTAACAGTTGAAACATGTTTCAAGTTCATGTACATTGTTTATGTAGATTGTATTTTATTAAGGCCTTTGATACATTTAGTTGCTTTTTTTCGTGTTTCAGGAAAAGATAGAGTATGTGTTCATTGTGATATTTACACTGGAAGCTGTTCTCAAGATAATAGCATATGGCTTTGTTCTTCATGCTGGTGCTTATCTACGAAACGGATGGAATATCTTAGATTTTATCATAGTTGTTATAGGGTGAGTATAAGCTTTAACTTTTTTAGACCCGTGAAGATCCGGGTTAGAATTGATCTTCAGTTTGTCGTAAGAGGCGACTACGGAATCAGTGGTCAACGTATCTCAATTGCGTAGATCGATGCTCATGCTGTTGCTCACTGGATTGTCTGGTCCAGACACGATTATTTAAAGACCGCCGCCATATAGCTGGAATATTGCTGAGTGTGCGTAAAACTAAACTCACTCACTCATTTAACCTTTTTGTATGTTTGCTGATTGAAAAACATTCACCTTTACATTCAGAGATATATACTGATCCACTATAGAAAAACAACATGTTCACAAACATTTCATTAAATTCAGTGTAAGTAATGCCTATTCAAAGATAGCAATATTGACTTTGTACTATAGGATATAGGCATTATGGATGGCTCAAAGACATTAGCATCACAGTTGTGTGGAGTTTCCTCCCTTTGCCATGCCAGGATTGTGTGGTCATGAGGCGTCAGGTTTGGCCTCATGATGAACTGTGAAATAACCATGCCGACAAGTTTCCCCAATGTTATGTATGTCGATATCTAATCTTCTTGTACCGTTTTACTACATTTTAACATCTTTTCTGAAACTGCAAGGAGTGAAGTCCTGAAACTTTGCTGGAAAGATCTAAAATTCGGAATCTCTGAAATCTTCACAAAATATTGGAAACATATTGAAACGTCTTTATGAATGTGTGACTATGGAGATTGATCTGCAGCAAGTATGTGGTATGTCGAATGACATGTAAGTTTTCTTTAAATCGTCCTAGCTTTTGGTGTCTTTAACAATTGCCTCATGTTTTTTCCAGAGAGTGAGAGGATAGTGTGATATGTCCTACTCAGTGTGCATAAAAAATATTAAAATCTTTATGATATCCACTTGAACAAAACTAATTAAGATTCTGTTCACAAACTGTGGCTTTAAATTCCTCTGAATTAACGTTTTGTTACTTTAACAGAAAGTCTAAGAAGGCAGGAAGTTCCTTTAGTAATTGATGTAGCAGTAAGATGGTAGATTGATTCAATCTAGTGGAAGTACTTTCGACAGAAGTGTGTAATGTGGTATTCACAGCATGCACAGTACTCATGTAATCTAGTAATATATTGACTTTTTTATTACACAAGCAAAGAGATGGGGTGTAAATCACCAAGTTAATCAATCTCTGTACAATCAGCTGATTGGCTGAATGCAGTGATTGAAATATACACATTTCCTGACAAACCGAGGCTCTCTATGAGTGTGAAAGCACTTTCTGAAGTTTTGATGAAATTAAAACAATGTTTTTTGAAGATGGATTAGATAGTAGGACTTTTAAGAGACATTAATTCTTTAGCATGACATTTACAGACTTAGTCCAGCATGTTGTGTGTTTGTTGGTCACCTGTGGTTATATCTCGTAGGGTTTCATATATCTGTGTCAGCAGCCTTGACCTTACAGCAAAATGCTTCAGTGGAGTATGCTATCTCTCCAGCATGTAAGGATGAAGATGAAATACTTGTTGATCCTTTTAGTGCCCTTGCATGCTGATTTAATACCACTTAATGACATTTGGGTACCATTCAGTGAGTCAAGCTGTCAAAATTTAGTCTTATTTGGTCAGCAGCCATGAAATAGTCACAAGTAATAATGCAGAACTTTGTTCTTCGTTACCCCACTGTAGTGTGTGTGGAAAATTATTGAGTCTAAATTGTAAGAAAATAACCATGTTATAGGCAACTGTGGATTTAATGTCCAAATTACAGCCCAATGAACACAAATGCCAACTGAATAATTGACAAATAATGACCATGAGGCAGTACCCCCCATGTTGAGCCTCATGCACTCATCAATACTTTTTACAAGATGAGTGATTGGAGTAGGTCAAGGGTCAGGAGGTCAGATTCTGGCTAATTGTCAGCCTTGTGTATTGTGGAATATTAACAGAATCAGGCCAGTGGTTAGGATAAGGGAAGAAAAGCCCTATGGGATTGAGTAATCAGCACAAGGACCTCAACTGATCAGGGATCATAAACTGGAAGAATCAGCCATGGTGGTTTGGTCAGAAACCAGGCTATCTCTCTTCTGCGCGATATCTGTCGGTTGGAATAATTGCTTTTGTCACAAGTTTCGGGGAATTATTGAGATAATAAATTCATACTTCTCTCAGGGGTGTATGTAGCTGTAATGATTTTTCCGTGGTGGTGGTGGATGGTATAATCTTCATGTGGAGTTAAGCTACCTGTTTGTAAATTGTTTCTGGGAGGCAGACTCCTGGCCTGTAAGTGATGAATGTGTTTTGTTGTAGACGGCAGACATGCATAATTACATAAACAATGACCTGCCCTGACTTCCTGATCAGATCAGGCTCAATTATACAAAAAGTAGATTTGGGCAAGTGATTTCAGCAGGGATAGCATTAAGGAGTATGATATATGTGCCGTTTGTGGAGCAATGACAAGTCGGTTAGAATATTACTTCAGAGACAACAGCTGCAACAGTTAAGAATGAATGGGCTTTGGAATGAATGCATTCCACAACTGTAACCAGCTGAATGTGGACCTTCTTTAGCCATTCTGACTGAAAGATGTTGCCTCTGGTCATTAATCCTGTTATGGGCACGGATATGTCTGGATAGTTTGACCATCAATAAAGACACCTGTTGCTGATGTTTTATCCACTGATTGTGGAATGTCTGAGTCTCAATCTTACAAGTCTCTTTCAATGTGACTCTCTGCACCTGACCTCTAATCCAACAATCTCTAAATTGACTAGGAGCTTATTTTAATGGGATATCCACCCCCTTGCTCATCTTCATCCCCCTAAGGGGCGGTGGGGTAGCCTAGTGGTTAAAGCGTTGGCTCGTCACGCCAGGTTCGAATCCCCACATGGGTACAATGTGTGAAGCCCATTTCTGGCGTCCCCCGCCGTGATGTTGCTGGAATATTGCTAAAAGCAGCGTAAAACCAAACTCAGTCAGTCAGTCATCCCCCTATTCAGCTATTTTCATGATGATTAATCTCTTCTCGTCGCTGTATGGTAGTCTGTGCAAAAAATGTTTGAGTCAACAAATTCATATTTGGCTCTAAGCATTTTGCTACATTTTGGTACACAAATAATTTTATCAGCTCAACTTACTAGACCAAACTGAATTATTCCAGTCTTGGGAATAAACCAATGGCTGAAGCTGCTGAATTATTGCTGTTGCTGAAGTCGCACAAGGTGGCGATTAGAGTGTTCTTTATCACAGTTTTAAAGAATTATATTTTCTAAAGGTTATATGTAGCTTTATTTTTGGGACTTTTGGTGCTTAGAATCATGGGACGGCCTTGACCTTGGGACAGTTCAGATGGACACTTACCAGGGAAGCATTCAGTAAGTCATAAGTAGGGTTATTGCCGAGTAAGCATATTTGGTGTCAGACTGCCAAGTCTCTCTCTGCAGGAGATAGATAGCCCTTTAATCTGTCTGTATGGAGTAATCAGTCACAGGGTGCTGGCGAGTATTTGGGTGGAAAATCTGATTCGTATGTATCATAACACACAAGAAATGTAGCAACAAACGATCTCAAGTAGGATGTGATTAACTCATTTGTGAATGGGATTGAACAAAAAAATTGAATTTGTTTTGTATTGGGTGAGGGAGGTTAAGCCTTTTTTCGATAGTGTCATCAAATCCATAGTGTGTGTACTCTCCTAGACATCAGAGAATGAATTAAGATTGAATCAAGTCCAGAATGTTTTTTGCAAATCAAGATTGACAGAAATTAAACATTGTTCCAGGCTCCCTTGCAAGTTACGTATTATTTTGTAGAGAGGGTGCTTACCTGTGAAATACGAGCATTACAACATGAGAAAGATGTTGTGTGCGTCTGACATGGTCGGATGGTGACATGAAAGTGTCACACGTCACAGGCATGAAACGCACGAGATTTGGAGGGTAGCCGAATACGGGTGGCACGTACAACTCTCTACATATAGCCAGTGGAGAAGCAGCCCTCTGGTGAAATAAAAGAGAAATAGAAGGCTGTCGGCGACACATATATATCTTTAAATATGATAACTGTATTTCTTGTACTAAATGTTAGGGTACAGGCAATTGTGTGTGTCCTACACTTCTCCCTCCAAATTCAAGCTATAAAGGTCTCTGTGTTAACCTCTGGTTGCTGACCAGTGTTCAAACACATCTAATTATCCCTTGCAAACTGCAGCGTCTTTGGCAGTCAGACATGACTGATGGTGAACTACATGGGTTTCAGGAAAATACAGGAAATCCTTGTTTTGCAATGATGTAGTGTGTTCCATATCTTCAGACAAATGTTTCAATAAAAACTGTACAGAAAATTGTTTTGCAAAAACTCAAGAACCTTTGGGAAATCAGGAAATTTGAACATATCATAAAAATTAGAGGGAATCAAAAGAATTGCATGACTTTAAAGTCTCCACAACAATATGCATGACACTACTTCCCCAAGGAATGGCTATGCAACAGATTGTAGAGTCAGTTATAGTTATGGGCTTGTTACAAAGCCACGATTCATCCAGCAGTTGTATCATGTTCGGCCAGTTATTAATGGTCACCTCAACTCTATCAACCTTCCTCAGTGATTATTTATTCCAATAATTGCATTATTGACAACGGAAAGGACTGAAATAGTGTTTCTCTAATAACCAATGGAAGTTTGTCTTAATGAACAACTAATGGTCCTAATTTAAGTATATATTGTTAAATTGTCCTATTGTTATTGTTGTAAGTATTACTATTATTATTATTGCTACACAAGATGTCAATGTTCAGTGGGATAATAATAGTAAACATCTGTTGTGTAATAAAAGCGAGTGAGTGAGTATGGTTTTACGCCGCTTTTTAGCAATATTCCAGCAATATCACGGCGGGGGACACCAGAAATGGGCTTCACACATTGTACCCATGTGGGGAATCGAACCCGGGTCTTCGGTGTGACGAGCAACGCTTTAACCACTAGGCCACCCACCGCCCGTGTAATAAA